ACAACATATAAAAATTAGTTGAATAAATTATATTTATATTATATTTTAATAGTTAAACTGAAACAAGTATTAAAATATATGTTAAACAAAATGTATATTAATTACTTAAAATATATGAATAATGATAACGTTAAAATAAGAAAAAAAATATTTATTTACACTATAAAAGGAAAGAAAGACAAATAATTAGAAACAAACTCAAATTAAAAAAATACAATTATTCTTGAATATAAGGAGTAAATTAATTTAAAATCGAACCTAACTATATGAATAAAATATTAACAATAAATGAAAATGCTGTAACACATAAGAACTATAAAAAAATAAAAATAAAAACGACGAAAAATCTTGTCCTTAACATGGATCCAAGGATTGAAATTATTCTTAACTACATGATTAATTATAAGTTAAAGTTAACCAGTGGACTTACCTCTCAATCATCTCTGATCTTTGGGCAACCAGCCAGAACGCTAATTACTTTTTGGCAATCTTTAATGGATAAACAGAGTCTAGAGGGGTAAGAAAGAAGAGCTTGGTGAACACCAAGGATGATCAGATCAATTATATATAGTAAATACAAGGCTCAAGATTTGAGGCTCCTTTAAGTTATTCCTAATTTGTAGGTTAAGGTAATTGTATCACTTTAATAAAATATATTTTATTGTCAATAAAAAGCATTATTCCTAACTTATCAGAGAAGAGTTAATATATACTACTCCTTGCTTCAAAACATAGAGTATACATTACAAAAGATAAAGTCAAAGAAAGTTAAAAATTTCATCGGAATGGATTTTCCAATAAGAAAAGGATATATATAGTCTTGAACTTTAATTTGTTTTAATGTTCAAGATTTGTAGGGTTTTTTTTTTAATATTTATATTTGAGTTCTGTTAATTCTAAAATCAATATGGAAAATGTTCCTTTTTTTTTATTATAATTTTTAGATACTAATTGGTACATACTTTAATTCATTACACTATACAATACACTTATTTAAAAATTATTATTTTTTATTTGAAATTAAAAGTAAACAAAATTAAAGATGCAATAATGCATACATGATGTAAGAACTGACTTAGTTATACTTAAATTATGTTTCAATAACTGAACCGAAATGAATGTTAAAAAATGTATTAAACCGATTGTCCACAAATTATTTTCTTTTATTTTTACAGTCTTTTATTTTTATAATAATACTTTTTAGTTTTTTCCCTACCCGCCTATCTCAGAGTTTCGAATTAAAATTTTTAATTTAGAGCATCAAATTTACAATGACTTGAAACACACTTTTGTAATAATACTTGCAAATTGCTTATGCAATCCATGCACGCATGCATGTGTTATATGACCGAATAAAAGTTACAAATCATGGGAAAGAAATATATGGGGGACCTAGGATGAAAAGAAAGATAAACCCAGTTACATGCTTTTCTTCCTAGGTTGAAATGAAGAATTAGAATATGCTACCAACAAAGTTGAGGTTCATATATGTTAACTTTAAGTGAGTTATAAGTAGATGGAAAAATAATTAATACACATCTGATTCAATATACTTTTTTAATATTTATCTAATTTAGTTATTAAATTATAATATAAGTATAGTTTAATTTAGCTAGATTTGCATCATGTGTGCATAAATAATAATTTTTTAATAACTATATATTATGCAGTATATTAAATCAAAATGTGTACAATCTGTATTTAAAAAAATCAAATTAACTTCAAATATTAGATCTCTATTTTATCAATTAAAAAAAAACTACAGCGAAATAATTCTTTATCTGACTACATAAGTACAGATTGGGTATGTATATTGTAATAATAGTATTATTTAACCACTTTATGTATAAGCTTTCCAATTAAAACTCTTCCTAATAATTTCTTTTATTGGCCAAAATAGAAATTTATTTAGCGTACGGAGGATGGTCTCTTTCTAACTGTTGATGTTTTAGCAATAGTAAAATTTAAGCATTCAAACAAAAATCTACCAGTTTGGTACTCCCTGGTATGGATAATCTGGAATACAAGGAACAAGATTGTATTGAAAGGTGCACCCGTAGATGGGGCTCGAATGTTTGGCCAAAGACAACTGCGGCCTTTTCTGTGGGTGAAAAACAAAGGAAAGAAAGGATATTTAGGCATTTCGGACTGGATCTTAAACCCCAGTTGCTGTAAAATTCTTTAAGTACTTATTATAAGAGGAATGGTAAGGGCAGGGGAGGCGCAATTGCCTGCCATATGCTGGGAAAGGGTTCTAAGTTCCCTTTGCAGTCAATTAATAATTTTTTTTTTTTTTTAAATCTACCAATTTTTCTTAATTTCCTTCTTTTACAATTTATGAAGGAGATGCTTGAAACTATCCTGCACCAGGACACCTTGACTATATATATCCAAAAAAAGTAATGCTAATATTTACAAGCCGCTCACGCACCCTGTACATGTGTTAAACATCATGGCAAAGAAATTTAGGAACTAAGATGAAAAGAAAGATCCCCAATTAGATTCTTTTCTCTATATGTTAAATAAATAATGAGAATATCTAACTAACAAAGTAAATTCTCATATTAACTTTAAGTAAATAGTAAGTATAGTTGAATTAATTTCAATTATATATTAAATCTCTATCTTGTTGATTAAAAAAGAGGAAAAAAAAAGTACATCATAGAATGATTCTCTAGTTTGCTTACAAAAAGTGAGGATTGGGTAGCTATATTGCAGATGCTTTAGTAAGCTTTCTAATTCCCACCACCAACGTACTAAGAATATCATAGGCTTCCATACTCATATTGCACGTAAGGCACCTCAGTAGCCTTCTTACCGTTACTACCTATGCTTTTGATGGCAAATCCACGTTTGCCGCTCATGTCATTTATTTGTCATGGACTTGTTCTTGGATTTCCATTTGAAACTTCCTCTCATTTTAGTTGGAATCATTAATATTGACATCTGGTCTCTTGTATTCTAGAAAAAAGATAGCTCTAAATACAGTTTCTTGCAACTCTTCAGTGAGAGGCAATTAACTTCACTATAATTTGGTTTCCCCTCCCATTTGCAATAGGAGTTACAATTGGCTTCAACAAGGTATACAAACACAACTCTGCATGCAGTAGGACAACCCGTTGTATATGATAGGTGTGAAGATAATTGCACTTCATTTTACAAAACCTGAAAAAGGAAAGAATAAGAAGTTACAAAAAGAGCTAATGATAAATGCACACAAAAAATTTATCAATAGTCAAATCATGTGGTAAACTAAGATTTGATCAAGTTTGCGTGTCATCGCCTACACCACTAAAGACAATTTGCTGAGAAAATGGGCCATTCATACTCCTAATGAATCTATATGCGGCTTATGTGGGGAAGAAATAGAAATGACAAATCATTTACTTCTTAATTGCAAGTTTGCCCAATCTTTATGGTCAAAATGTTTATTGTGGTGGAACTTAGGGTATGTGTTACATTGTGACTTAAATAAAGCCTTTGTACAACATGTCTGGAGTGGAAAGGGCAAAAAATTAAGAAGGTACTAGGAAATCATCTGACTTGTTATGTTATGGACTATTTGGCTAAGCAGAAATAAGCAAGTTCTTAAAGGAATTGCGTCAAGTATGGGTTGTAGTTTTGAGCTACTTCATGCAAGTGCTTTTCACTGGATTAATGGAAGAGGTTAAGGGTTAAAAAAGCCTCTTTCACAAACTGGTGTACCAAACCAGGTGATTGCAATAAACCATTGCTGGGTGGTAGGATGAGAAAGGGATAATTGGAGGGTTTATATTGATTAAGAAAAGCAAAAACATTCATTTCTCTTAAAGTCAGCAATGAAATAGGCCACCTTAATAATAATATGTGGCATGTTTAATGGATGTATATGGATTAGAGCATCTTTTGTACTTTAAATAAATAAATTTTTTACCTTTCAAAAAAAAAATCACAAGCAAGATATCATGGCAAAATTATAGGATATTGGGTTATATTAAGATAAAATAAATTAAGACACAAGGTTACATAAAATGATGACGTATCTTATTAAATTAAATATAATCGGGATATGTAGCAAAATCGTATGACTTGATTAAAATATCTTAGAATATTCTTGCAAGGATGCCTTCTTCATTTGCCTATAAATAGAGGCATTCACTATGAAGAGAGAGGAGACACAACTTTAAAGAGAAGTACAAACACTTTGTGGCAATTGCACCCTAAATCTTGTGGAAGCCTTCAAATCTTCAAGTTCTTCCCAAACTTTTCTCTTGTTGCAAGGTTTTTAAAACCGGATCGGACTGGCCGGTTGAACCGGTTGGACCGGTACCTGGTCATGAAAATGGTTCGGTTCACATAAGAAAATTGTTTGAGGTCAAAATTGGTCAAAACCGGTCAAAAACCGATAAAAACCGGTAAAACCAGTAAAAACCGGTAGAACCGGTGGAACCAGAAAAACCACCGGTTCAATTTCTCATGCAATCTTCTTTCAATTTTTTCCAATTTCACCCTTCCCATTCCTTTCTTATACCCATTTTAACCTTTAACTTTAACAAAATTA